CCCCTAATCTGCCAGGGCCCCTATATACCGCCATCCTCATGCTGCTGCCAAGTCCAAGTCTCTCATGGTCCCTGTACGGCTCCTCCCATTGCTGCTGTCTCCATCGCCACACTCTGCCATGTGCCACTTTCAGGTCTCCTCACACACTGCTGATTTGTGTTGAATTTTTTTGACATAGGTGCTGGCAGATTACGGGCCTCCCATAGCTACTGCCAGGCCCCTAATCTGCCATGGGCCCCTATATACCGCCTCCTCATGCTGCTGCCAAGTCCAGAGTCTCTCATGGGTCCCTGTACGGCCTCCCATTGCTGCTGTTTCCATCGCCACACTCTGCCATGTGCCACATTCAGGTCTCTTCACACTGCTGGTGTGTTGAATTTTTTGACATAGGGTGCTGGCAGATTACGGGCCTCCCATAGCTGCTGCCAGGCCCCTAATCTGCCATGGGCCCTTATATACCGCCTCCTCATGCTGCTGCCAAGTCCAGAGTCTCTCATGGGTCCCTGTACGGCCTCCCATTGCTGCTGCCAGGAGGCAGCAGGGTCGCAGCAGTGTCAGTGGAGGCAAACGGCCACGGAGTAGAGCACCAGCTCCACTGCAGCCTACCACCACGGCCAGTAGTGGTGCCGGTGTGCACGGAGGAAGTAGCAGTCAGCCAGTGAGGAGTAGAGGAGGCAAAGTTTCCTACTCTGCGGTGTGGCAACTTTTCGTCAAGCCGCCCGAGGAAGTAAACGTAGCCGTATGTCGACTATGTGGCCAGAAAGTCAAGCGTGGCCAGGGGGCCCATGTTGGGACTACAGCGTTGCGTCAGCATATGCAGCGTCGCCATTCGGTGGCCTGGGAAAACCGTGATAAAGATACGGCGGTTCTGCCTGCCCCAGCCCAGGGTTCCATTTTGTCATAGGGTGCTGGCAGATTACAGGCCTCCCATAGGTGCTGCCAGGCCCCAAATCTGCCATGGACCCCCGTACCGCCTGGTCACGCTGCTGCTGGGCCCACAGTGTGACCTGGGTCCCTGTACCGCCTCCCATTGCTCCCACTCTGCCATGTGCCACTTTCAGGTCTCCTCACACTCCTGCTGGTTTCCATTTTGTCATAGGTTGCTGTATGGCCTCCCATTGCTGCTGCCTCCACCGCCACACTGTGGCTCCAAACACTGGTTTTGGCCCCGTGACTGGCCAAATGAGTGAAGTGTGTGGTGATTCTAAGATCGACGGCACTCATCTGCATGTCATACTGAGTGACAGTATTATTTCTCTTCCCCAGCAGACTCCAAGGGCATTTAAATTAAAGGTACAGTGTTCTGCACTAATATTAAGTCTCTCTGAAGCCTAGAAACACCCTTTTTTAAGTTAAATTCACAGCGAATTTATTCGACTCGAATCGAATATTGTCCACGAATTCGCCGAATCAGAATCAGTCGAATCGAATTTTTCATTTCTTCGCTCATCTCTAGACATAATCAGACCGTTAGGGAGGCTACCAATTTTATAATTTCACGGACAGTTAGTCTAGTATGCCTTTCCTCAAGTATATCCATTATTCAGGTTAACTACACAAGACCTTTTCACCCGTAATGTTTCAGGCTAGTATATCTTCTTCATGTGTACAAAATGTGCAACGTAAGTTGGTTATCATATAATTAGACAGCAAAGGGAAAATGAATTAGCTCAACCTGTTGAACCTTGTAAATCTATGAGGTTAATGCTGGTAATTGGTATACCTCTAGGAAGTCACAAAAAGCAGTTGGAGTTGCTATTCGTCACTGTTAACATCTCTTTGGTTTTGGTGGACATCCCTACTGGGTCGATTTCACTAACAGTTCAATAATTACTCAGAAATTGTGCTAAAATAACGCATGAAGTAATTTTTTTGCAAATGTGCAATTCATTAAGAATTTTGCGGTAAATAACTCTTGCGGTAAAATATCTGTATTGCGGTAATTACTGCATATTTTCATACGGTAATTTATCGCACGGTAGCTGGTTGTTAAGGAAGCCAGCCGCGGTGTCCTTAACAACGGATAACTCATCAGCTGTCCGGGGTGCCCCACTGAGAGTTGAATATAAAAAAAACATGCACATGACAGCAATTACAAAGTATAAAAATAACAGTGTGGGGCTTCCCCCCCATCCATACCAAGCCCCTTGGGAAAAACCCACACCAAATTAAAAAAAAAATGGCCCTTAGGTCTGGTATGATTTTTGGGGGAACTATACACTACAATTAAAAAAAAAAAGGCATGCGGGGGACTCCATGCCCTTTTTCCTAAAAGTTTGGCGTGGGTTCAACTTAACATCCATGCCAGACCCCTAGGGGTTGAGGGGAGGGACCCACTTTCTGCATCTGAAAAAATAGCACGTTATACTGCCAGCAAAACCCTGGTGATAAATATCACTTTTTTTACTTTTCTTTTCTGTTTTTGTGAATTGGACTTAACAGCTTACCACATATTTTTTTTTTTTTTTTTGCAGTTTTACTGGCACATTTTTAATTTGCGTTAAATACCGCAGAATCCTTTTTTTTTTGTGAATTGGATATTTTGTTACCGCATGTGATAATTTATGCAAATGAGTCACGTGGCAGTGTTATCGCATGTGATTACCTTTAGTGAATTAACCCCCACTTCTGGTATGTACCTGGCCTACTAGTCACTTGTGTTTTTTTTTTTTCTTTCACAGTTTAGAACTGCTTGTATAACCAATGCTGATCTATTCATTTTTTAAATTCTGAATATATTTATAGTGCGTCCTTTTATTTTTTCATTCTAAACTTATTTATCGATCAATTATCAAAATCCAATTCATATTGTTCATATGTTACGTATAATATTTTAGCCATTTAAAGCTCTTTTGGCTCTACGTCTCCTGTGGGTCACAGAAGTACACTTAGTTCTGCACTCTTGTGACCTGTATTCAGCCAACAGTGAGCTAAAGTCCAATGTCTAGACTCATTAAAGTTGGGATCCACCCAGATGCCTGACTGGCAGTTGACTCAGCCTCTGAGTGAGCTGCTGAGAGCCTGAGCCAGCTGCTTGCACCCCTTCACAACTCGGCGTGTCAGTGAGTGCAGGAGAAGCAGAGCAAAGAGCCAGTGACTGAAAGAGAACCGAGCAATCAGCAGTCTTTGATCGCTTGGTTCTTGGTCTTACAGGTAGTGGGGGACAGATGTAGCATTGGACTGATGCTACATCCACCTAGGTAAGTATGTATGCTTGTGTCCTTTTTTTTCATTCCCATACTTCTCTTTTAAGCCTCTAATAATTACATAAGATTTTAAAAAATGTTATTCGTTACCCCCTTCTTTATAATATTAGTCAGTAAATAGTAATGTAATGTTGATAAAAAAAATAAAATTAAACATCCTACCTTTAAAAATGAAGATTAAGGTGACAGGTTTTCATGTCTGTTTGCCACAGGAAGGTTTCTCATGTCTTCTGTGTCTCACTCTAAACTGTTCTTTAAGTATACTTTATTACTATTAACGGAAAGTTTCCCACCCTCTTCAATAGTGAGTACCACTGAAAAAAAAAACCTCATACTATGCTTTAAGAAATTCACTACATTACAGAATTCAGTTCTCATAAGACTTTGTGTTTTGGTGTTAATCATTTTTTTTTCTGGGTTCATGCTCTGGGGAATATTGCTTTACTGGAAAATATACATTTTATCCACTTTTTTTTTTTAAAAAAAAAACTGACTTTAATGGTATGACACACATATCATTCATTCATATACAGTGTGGCAAAAAAAGTATTTAGTCAGCCACCAATTGTGCAAGTTCTCCCACTTAAAAAGATGAGAGAGGCCTGTAATTGGCATCATAGGTAGACCTCAACTATGAGAGACAAAATGAGAAAAAAAATCCAGAATGCTGAGTTGCATCCAAAGAACACCTTACCTACTGTGAAGCATGGGGGTGGCAACATCATGCTTTGGGGCTGTTTCTCCGCAAAGGGACCAGGATGACTGATCCATGTACAGAACAGAATGAATGGGGCCATGTATCGTGAGATTTTGAGTGCAAACCTCCATCTTCAAGGGCATTGAAGATGAAACGTGGCTGGGTCTTCCAACATGACAATGATCCCAAACATACCGCTCGGGCAACGAAGGAGTGGCTTCGTAAGAAGCATTTCAAGGTCCTGGAGTGGCCTAGCCAGTCTCCAGATCAACCTCATAGAAAACCTTTGGAGGGAGTTGAAAGTCCGTGTTGCCCAGCGACAGTCCCAAAACATCACTGCTCTAGAGGAGATCTGCATGGAGGAATGGGCCAACATACCAGCAACAGTGTGTGCCAACCTTGTGAAGACTTACAGGAAACGTTTGACCTCTGTCATTGCCAAGAAAGGATATATAACAAAGTATTGAGATGAACTTTTGATATTGACCAAATACTTATTTTCCACCATAATTTGCAAATAAATTCTTTCCAAATCAGCCAATGTGATTGTCTGGATTTTTTTTCTCATTTTGTCTCTCATAGTTGAGGTCTACCTATGATGCCAATTACAGGCCTCTCTCATCTTTTTAAGTGGGAGAACTTGCACAATTGGTGGCTGACTAAATGCTTTTTTGCCCCACTGTATATAATTAAAAAGTCTAAATAGAGGTGGCACAACATAGTTTAACATGTAACCATGTAATGTGCATAGACCAAGCACATTTATTTTATACAAATTGGCAGTATTTAGATAGTCTATCATGTTCATACATGTACAGATATCTCTTGGATGTATATGGCAGCTTCTTACATATTTGCCAGATTTGCCAGCCCCATTTCAGGTTAAATGAAAAAAATATTTTTCACCAGAACCAAGCAGCTCTGATCTCCAGTGTGCTGTCATATCGGGATAACTGGAAAACGCACAAACAAAACGTTGCAAATGTTATTTTTTTATTATCTTTTAGATTTCTATTGTGTCTCAATTTTTGTTGTTTTGCTAGTGCTCAGCACCATTTTAAACTCCCCTATCCTGGGGCTTGCTAAAACAGGCTGTCTGTAAGCTGTGTGTCTCTGTCATCCATGGCATTATCCATTGAAATTGTATCATCAGTCAGCAAGATCAGAGGAACTGTCGGGACACATTATAAAGGAATTTTGAGCAGCTAAGGACAGAAATTAGGATTCCTGTGGACACCTTCAGACCTCAATACGTATGGCCAATGCTGCCAAAGGAAACATTTGTAAGCCAAAGCTGCATTTTTTTAAAGGACTTTCAAGAGTCCTAGTGTTGTTCCAGAGCAGTCAAGGCCAAAAGGGGACTTTAATTACAGCTAAAAATCTTAGAGTAGAACTTTCGTCGGGGGGCTGCTCTAAGGTCAAGATGATGTAGCAGCTGGGGCAGAGAAGCTAGAAGATCAGTAGAACCAAACCAGTAGGACCAACACTCCTGGAAGCCCTGGTTTCTTTTTAACTTCACAATGCTGGTAACTACCAGAATAAGGAGCAGATTAGAGAGCAAATGAGGACAAAATGTAATATTTGTACTGTTTGAAAGAAAATTTCAGACTAAATTTTGTAAAGAGGAGACTGTCTGAAAACATAGCATGACTAAAACTAAAGTGGTTATATTTCCTCCATCTAAATTTGCATCTTTCCTTGAGATGACAATCACCGTTAAAATGACTATGTCTCATCCTAAAACAAAATCTAAAACAATGAATCTGAATTCTACCTCTCTGGCAAGCAGCATGTCTGAACTTCTCTGCTTCCGAACGCAAAAGCCTCCAGCATGACTTTCGCATTTGACAGGAGGACACTTCCTACTGACTGTCCAGTAGCTTGATGACATTCCATGTACCCTGTGCTGGATCCACCTGAAATGGCGGCAGCACGACTGTCTGAAAAGACAAGGAAAAGGCATCGCCTACATTTATGTTCTGACAGGTTCCCATTTAAAAAGTCTGTCTTGTGGGAAATGTGTCAAGTTGGAAGCCGAAGAGAACAATGCTGATAGTGAAGCTTTGAGATGTCTCCTTGGTGGCTGCAGAGAATAAATGATTCCCTTTAAAAAGAGTCAGCAGTGTATGTTGTGATTTTCAAATAGGAAGGTAACAGTTTATAGGAAAATATCTTCTCCTCAATTGAGACAATAAAACAATATTACATTTTCTATTACATAAACCCTTTAATACTGCATAGGACAAAAAAAACTTTTATTAAAGAAATAATTACTAAATCCTGCTGCCAGTGATATAAAGATAAAATAGAAATCAAACAAAAGCTGACATTTCTGTAATGGGTTATAATGATATTACCAAAGAGACATTTATTTATTACAGGTACTTATATAGCACTTTACATATATAGTACAG